CATTCAAAAGCATTGGATTACGTTTGCCCTATTTTTCTGTCTAACTTGGATAGCCTTTTGTAATTATGTCCTGCACACCTTTACATATTGTTTGTTTATTAGATTTTTGTCCTGCCTTTATTACGTTATAAGTAACCCAAGGCAGCAAACATATATATTATTCCTCATTTCCCCATCCCCCATCCCAAAAGCCATGTGTGGTGAGTTGATCTGAGAGAGAGTGGCTGGTTCAAAAATCATCCAACCAGTATTCATGTTTAAGACAGGACTAGAATTCACCCTCTTCTGGTGGTAGGCCCAAAGTCACCCAGTCGGTTTTCATACGTAAGGTGGGAACTAGAACTCACCACCTCCTGGTGATTTGCCCAAAGTCACCCAGCTCACTTTCATGTCTAAGGTGGGATTAGAATTCACTGTCTCCTGGTGATGGGCCCAAAGTCACCCAGCTCACTTTCATGTCTAAGGTGGGATTAGAATTCACTGTCTCCTGGTGATGGGCCCAAAGTCACCCAGCTCACTTTCATGCCTAAGGTGGGACTAGAATTCACTGTCTCCTGGTGATGGGCCCAAAGTCACTGAGCTGGCTTTTGTGCTTGAGACAGGACAAGAACTCACAGTCTACTGGTTTCTACAGCGGCCTCTTTCTCCCTCCCTCCCTCCCCCTCTCCTCTCTCTCCCTCTCCGACTCTGTCTCTCCCCCTCCATTTATCTCTTATCCTTCTCTCGTTTTACAAGTGTTTTCTTCCTTCCCATATTCTTCCAGGTCCATTTTGTCCCTGATAATGGAACAGTGGCGCAGATTGTGTACAGTGATGACCAAGATCGTCCTACCCAGCAAGTGGTCTATACAGCTGACGGCACCTCTTACACTTCTGTAGATACTTCAGAGCATACGTTAGTTTACATCCATCCCGTGGAAGCCACTCAGGCAAGTAATTTCCCTCCCCCCCCAACCTGTGTTGCTGCTTTTCCGTGACCGCTACCCACACTGAGATAATGTCATTTTAGGACGAGGGCCAGCTACCTACACAGCTTTCTGAATCCTAAGGGCTCTTAGCTGTGCATAATCCTCCTCCTGCTCACTCCAAGTCACGGCGAAGAGGTTGTAAACAAAAACCTCCAGTGGTTATGGAATAGGCAGCTTATCCATTTTGCTTTAGTGAAACTGCGGGAATCAAAATAATTTCAGCCGTCGTTGCCCTGGGCAGACAAAAGAAAGGCTCCTAGCATGCTGTTTCCCGAGTCATTAGTGGTGCATCAAATTGGGACAACTCAATTCGTTCACCAAAGCATGGTTGTTTCTAACTGTGTTAGCTTACATTTGGTAAACTTTAAATCTGTTGATTTAAAACTGTGGCTTTTAAATGTCCTTTTGTCTTGGATTTTTGTGTATCCTCTACGCAAGCTTCGTGTACTATGCACAACGGGGGTCATACACTTAATTATACAGATTTATGGAGAGAACAAGAAGAAGCTAGCTATCATAAACCGACTAGTTGGATTGGATGGCTTAATACCGATTAAAACACAACATCCATGTTTAATCATTGTTTATGGAATTAACCCAACGACACATTGAATTACCGTATTTTTCTGAGTATAAGATGCACTGGAGTATAAGACACACCTTAGTTTTTGGGGAGGAAAACGGGGGAGAAAAATTCTGCCTACCAGGTATTCATCTAGCTAGCATCCTTAGTCTAGCTTTAGCACATATGTTTGCTGCTTTTGAGCACATGTGCGCGCACGCTTTTTATCACTAGTTGGGGATAAAAAAGAGCTTCTAAAGCACAACTGATCATTGGAGGGAGCAGCAATGAGAAAAGCAAAGAAGCCCCGGAAGATCGCTTCACTCCCTAGCGCCTCATTAGGGCTGAAAAACAACTTCTAAAGCACAGCTGATCGTTGGAGAGAGAAGCAATGAGAAAAGCAGGCAAAGTGTGGAAGATGCTTCACTCGCTAGTGCCTCATTAGGGCTGAAAAACAGCTTCTAAAGCACAGCTGATCGTTGAAGAGAGAAGCAATGAGAAAAGCAGGCAAAGTATGGAAGATGCTTCAGCGCCTCATTAGGGTTGAAAAACAGCTTCTAAAGCACAGCTGATCATTGGAGAGAGAAGCAATGAGAAAAGCAGGCAAAGTGTGGAAGATGCTTCACTCGCTAGTGCCTCATTAGGGCTCAAAAACAGCTTCTAAAGCACAGCTGATCGTTGGAGAGAGAAGCAATGAGAAAAGCAGGCAAAGTGTGGAAGA